GTACATGAAGTCTAGAGAATCATGAGCTGAAAATTCACCCTTTTTTGTTCTCACAGTTGTGAATGGACAATTCCAAAAGCCTTCTCTCCACTGAGTGAGACTGAGAGAGATTTTAGGCCTTTTTGTAAACATCTGCAAGCATTTTTTTGTGCAAAAATGTGTATTATCATACTAGGGCTGAAATCCAGTAGTAGTACAATGCAACTAGAGTAAGTTCCATTGAATCAATGGAACTTACAGAGGTTTTGACTAGAGAGGGGGGTATTCGTAAATCCCCCCACAGATACAGATAATGAGGGTCTGGCCCCCTGGGGCCAGAGATGGGGGTATTTGTATTCATATACGAATACCCCCCCACAGGTGCAGATAATGAGGGTCCGCCCCCCTGGGGCCAGACCAACCACTCATGAGTGGGCGGTCTGGCCCCAAGGGGCCAGACCCTCATTATCTGTATCTGTGGGGGGATTTACGAATACCCCCCTCTCTAGTAAAAACCTCTGTAAGTTCCATTGATTCAATGGAACGTACTCTAGTTGCATTGTACTACTACTGGATTTCAGCCCTAGTATGATAATACACATTTTTGCACAAAAATAATGCTTGCAGGTGTTTACAAAAAGGCCCAAAATCTTTCTCAGTCTCACTCAGTGGAGAGTAAGCTTTTGGAATTGTCCATTCACAACTGTGAGAACAAAAAAGGGTGAATTTTCAGCTCATGATTCTCTAGACTTCATGTACGGTAGTTGTTAAATTTCCTCACCACTTGATAGGATAATGTGGGCCATTCCACTTCAATTGTTTCTTTACTCCACAAACCATTTATCAATTGTCAGGAAAAGGCAATTAAGCAAGGAGCTACATTGTAACATCTGATGGGGGATTACAAATAGACTAATATCTAATCATAATAAAATTAAGCATGAGTCATACAGTTAGACATTTGCTAACACCATTTATCAATTGTCAGGAAAAGGCAATTAAGCAAGGAGCTACATTGTAACATCTGATGGGGGATTACAAATAGACTAATATCTAATCATAATAAAATTAAGCATGTTAGACATTTGCTAACCTCTTTGGCACTCATTCTATATTTCATTTTATTCCATATATCTGAAGAAGTGGGCAAGATCCACGAAAGCTCATATTAAAATATAATAGTTAGTCTTCAAGGTTTTTTTCTTTGTCTTTGTTGTTCTCCCCCCCCCCCTTTGGATTTTGCCTTGCACAAACTAAGACAGCTGCCTCTTCCTTTGGATTTTGCCTGATAAGCTTGCACAAACTAAGACAGCTGCCTCTCCTAAGACTACATCTTTGGACTGCTTCATGAACTCAGGTTTAAAAACACTGCAACCTTCTGTGTAATTTTGATATTGTATCCAACAATACGAAATATGAAAAAGTAGAAACGCATCCAAGTGATGGGGATGAATTAACAAAATAAGATGATTCATTTTTTCTCCAGACCTCTGATAAAGTTAATCTTGCAACAGCATGCATGTTGGTGTTTCTGCAGTATCAGTGCCACATGGGCAAAGACATCCCAGCAACCAAGTTTGCATTATGTTCAACATACCCTCTAGTTTTCTGCCTCTCATGTGCGCGACTTCACCCCTGCATGCACACACGACTCCGCCATCCCTCTGTATGCAGAGTTCCATTGTGACCAGAAACAAATGCGATCACTGCGTTGAAGAGGAAGAGAGCTGCACGTAGGGAGGCAGTGACGTGCGTGCGCTCGCACCCAGCTTAGAGGGAACTTTGATTATGTTAAACCTAGCTAGTGTAAACGCTATGCAGTGCTTTAGAATGCTTCAGTTCTGTAGGCAGCTAGTGTTTGTCATCAGTGAATGTTAAATTATGGACCAAAGATGATTTATAAATATAAGAAAAAGGTTTTTTTAAAACCCCTATGTGTCCTAGTACACAATCCCAAGGCAAGAGCGAGTGACACCTGTATTACAGCACTAAAACAATCACAAACATAAGCTGTCCTTTAACCTCCACATAGATCCTCGGCTCTATGGTATTTGCCTTCAGATAATGTATATTTTGGTCTTTTTTTAAAAACAAATATTTGGCCATGTTGCAGCACTACAAGATGATTTTCAAGCTAAAAGAGATATCACAATTTATGTAACATTAAAAGCAATGCACCTACTATTACTGTATTTCCACAGCATTAGCAAAGTAGATGTATAATTTTGTGTTGAGAATTAAAAATATGTTTTAGAGAGGGAATTATGAGAGCTTGCTACTTTTATGTGTCTTAACATTTTTCATGTAAATTGTATGAACAAAAGATGGCCAATGGAATGCTGTTCAAACGCGTTGTCATTATTAATGGCATTTACTATTTCACATTAGCCAATTTGCATTATCATTTTCAGATAAAGGCTTAACAAGACATCCAACTGTTTTACATGAGTTCTTTTTTTAAGTGCTGTGAGCACATCTCATAACTCTTAAAGAAAATTTGGCTGCAGTAGCCTTCTTCGCTGTTTTAGGTACACACAGCCTTGGAAACCCATTGGAGGGGAGCCACAATAGTTAAGCCACTTGTTAAATATCTCACATATCTTGAGAACCCCATTAAGATCATGTATGTTAGATGCAACTTGACAGCACATAACAAACCAAGCAAAATAAGTATGGTTTTGAAAAGGCAGTTAAGACCTACTTGCTCCAGGTGGAGAAGTAAACTTCAGGAATATATTTGTTGATAAAGAGCTGCCTGGAGTTTTGGACTCTCATTGCGGAACAAGGTTGTGTCATGATGGGAGCCTGCACTTTTGAAGTCACTAGAACACTGTTGTTCTTTAACCTCATGGTAGGCTTCAAAGCTGAATTATGGTTTTTTCATTGACCAGAACATTTTCTACTACTGTTCTGTCACTCTTTCTCAACCTAGATTGCCCAGAATCTGAAATCAATCATCACCCTTGCCGGCTTTTTCACTAATGCAGTTTGAGACCTTTGGGTTATTGTTTTATTCTGTTTTTTAGAAATCTATTTTTAAAGCCTTTCCAAAGAATGAGTTTTTAAAAATCAGCTTGTAAATAAATTGCTTTTAAATGTATACAATGTATTGGTTGAAATTCTCTTCTCGTACTATTAGAAAGTGTGATTTTTGCAATATGTCTTATTTCCAGCGTTGCTTTTTCCTATAGCCAAATGGTATTCAAATGCAAAAATATTTGTGCTCTGCTCTAAATCTTCCACTCAAGCTTTTTGGCACTTCTTGGTTTGGCGTGTAAAGTTTCCCCAGCTTTCCTTACTTTCAAGCTACATCCAAAAGACAGATGATATATTTTGTCATGTTAAATCTTACAAACCTTATGTGGGAATGCTGTCTCCTGATTTAAAAAAAAGTGTTTTTGTATCTTAGTCATGCATATTTGTCTTCAACTCGCATGAAAAGGAGTGATACTTGAGTATTAATATTATATGGCTGCTTTATTATTTTTCTGGACTTCAAAACTAAGTATTTGGAAGCATTACAAGCCTTTTGCCTCCAAAATATACTGAACTGTGAAACTACCTAAAAGCTGTTGAACAAAAATAGATGAAGATCAGATGAGCCTCTGCGCTCCCTTTCACCCAAGTTTAAAATTGCTTGGTTGTTCTTTTTAATCCAAGAAATGCAATAAAAAGCATTTGGTGTTCTAAGGGAACCAGGTGTGTATGGTCTAAAAGTAGCAAAGCTTTTTAATATTTTATTTTCACCACAAACAGGTTCATACCAAGTTCCACTGCAGGCAGGCACATGCTGCAGGCAGCGACACTTCATGCTTGACATTTTCTTATGATGGTACGATTCTTGCCAGTCGAGGAGGTAAGTGACCACATTTCCTTCCATTTATAGCACTGGATACAAGGTGAACTCGAGGTTGCACTAAAGTCATAAAGCAAAATTCATTGCCTGTTCCAAATCTGGGGGATCCTTTGGCATTATTTCCTTTCATCAGTGGGTTTATTGCAAGTAGAGGATACAGTTATCTCTTCTCAGTCTTGTCACTTTTTACACATTAAAAAGGGCCAGGGGATAGACATCAACAGCAAGAATCAAGTAGTGGTCCAGGAAATGGTAGGATTGAATAAGTGGTGACATAGAAGAGTGCAGGATTCAGGATTGGTCCTCAATTGATAGCGATACAAATTCTCACTTGGCTCATTGGGCAGGGTGGGAATTAAGCCCATTTTCTGCAGAATTCTTCAATTCTCTATAATTAAGATGGTTGTTGGATCTATTGGCTTGTTTATTTTAACAATCAGCCTGCCCTTCTGTGCTTTGTTGTGTGGGTTTGTGTGCTTTGTTTCTCAAGGAAGGGGGCAGCAGAAGCATACTAAGCCAATTGCAGAGGCCTAGAGGGGAGAAAAAGAGTTTTTTTGTCTTGGTAGGAGGCAAGGAATTTCATAAGGCTTTAGAATTCTTCAGGGTCTCTCATCATGAACAGGGTGATGGTGACGGAAATGAGGAATTGAGCAAGGATTCTTCTTACCATACAGGTGCCCAGTGATGCACACTTATTAACACTGACTCTGGTAGAAAAAACAGAATTGCCACCAAAATCAACTTCTCCACGTAAAGTGTCTGCCTCTCACTTTTGTATAAACTTCAGCTAACATCATGTCCTGAGATCATTGTAGTGAACATTTTTCTACTGATGTTGTACAGCATGGATTAGTGAGATCCTGAGAATTGTTGACTGGAGTATCATTAGGGCAAGAGCAGAGCTGAGTAGAGTTTAAATGGAGTGTGGCCCTCAACAGCCAACTACCATGTTTAACAGCAGTTGTGTCTTCTTGATAACATGACCTTTGGTTCAGCCCTAAGGTAAAGGTTTCCACTGACATTTAGTCCAGTCGTATCCGACTCTAGGGGGCGATGCTCATCCCCGTTTCCAAGCCATAGAGACAGCATTTGTCCATAGACAGTTTCTGTGGTCACATGGCCAACACGACTAGACACGAACACCATTACCTTCCCACCGTGGTGGTCCCTATTTATCTACTCACATTTACATGCTTTCGAACCACTAGGTTGGCAGGAGCTGGGACAAGCAACGGGAGCTCCACAACGCCACCACATCCCAAGTAGTTTTTTAGACCTCCTCTCAAATTTTACATTTGTTGTATCCCCACATTTATGAATCTTTTCATTCCTGCTATTGATTTTAACATCCTCATTTTGCCACTGAAGCTTTCAGCTGTCCCCAGAATGTCACAGGAAGGCAGGTGGTTTTTCATAAATAAATTAGTATCTAACCCACATGTCATCACTTTCATGAAAAGTCATTTTGAAACCTGGTATTTAACGCACAACTCCCAGCATCACTTTAAAAAGAGTGATTTTATTCAGAGAGGGAAACTAACCATTATGAATCTGGGCATTTTAGTCTGTGGTAAAAAAATGATCTGGGCTTGTTTAGCTCAGTGGGTTGGGGCAGCTGTGTGGAGAGCAAGAAGCTGGGCATTTGGATTCCCAGGAGAATCTCCTTCCAAGAGAGGGGCCAGTCAAGATCACCCAGAGTGTATCTGTGTGGCCTTGGGCAAATTGAACAGTCCTGGAGTGCCACCAGGAGGGACTCAAAATCCATTTCTGATTACTTTATACATAGAAAACCCTGAAGGGTTGCCCTGAGTCAGAATCAACTTGACGGCGCATAATTATTATTAAAGAATGGACAGTTTCTCTTTATGTAACATAAGTATTACTCTGGACCTTTACCAGCAAAAGCAGATGTGCAGTCAGCAGTCAGTCTTAGATTAGCACACCTGCCCAAATGAAAGGGATCAGAGAAAGGATCATGTTTGGGGGAATAAGAACTTCCAGTGAAACCCTGATGCCTTTTGCCTGTCGGATATGAGAGAGCTGAGACAGGGCTCAGCTGCACGGGCACCAGGGAAAAAGAACAGCAGACAAATTGCTTAGGAGTGTTCCCAGTTTCATTTCCATCGAGAGTAAACTTGGAACCTGACAGAAATGCAAGAAAGGGATGTTTAAAAATCCACTTCTGGCCCTGATAATAGCTCTTTAAAAGCATCTTTAGTTATAGTTTTTATTGTAAGCCGGCAATAAAAGATGATTCAGTAATACGTGACTGGCTTGATCATAAAAATGGGACTGAATTAATTGTGAGAGACATCCTCTCCTTCTGCTGACATGGTAGGAATGTACACAGTGAATACTTATTGTTGCTTGACATTGAAATAAACAGTTGTCTCTATAATGGTTTTGTGTGTGTGAATTATGATGCAAGAAACTACACATGCAACCCAGTCCATGTTACCTGCTATGGAATACAGTAATCAACCAGCATAAACCTCATCAGGACATCTTACTCAATTCTTTTGATTACCTGCAAAACCCTATCTACCCCAAACAAGCAGTAAAAGTATAATTTACCGCCCAGAGTAGACCTTTGGTCTAGATGGGCAGAATAAAAATCCAGTAAGTAAGTAAGTAAGTAAGTAAGTAAGTAAGTAA